TGCTATTATCTGCTATTATACACACTAGCAGCTTGATAGCTACCCCTGCCTTGTCCACTTTTGTGTTATCTCTTGTCCATGGACATGTACTTGAATCCCAATAATTTGCTTGTAAATGATTATACATATCTGTGCTCCCAAATTGTAACATCATTAAGGAAAGTCAACTAATGCACGTTTACCATATAAGATCAAGATGCCTACCTCTTCCTCCTTATCAGTTTAATAAAATTGATGTTTTAAATAATAAAGAGGCTACATAATCTTTCGGTCAATGCATGCCAAGTCATTTGACTTTCTTTAACAATTTAAACAAGAACATGCTCTACATGTACTTGCTTATTTGTACTATGTTTAGGGAGGTTTTAAGGATTACTTTTTGTACAGATTGTGGGTTTGGAGCTAGTACCACTGCCTTCAGCACAAATAATACAGTTATAAGAAAGTAATCTGTATATAGTTTGATTTATTTTATATCATGACAAAAAACTTTCTGGCCAGCCATCCTTTGTCTTATTTGGTCCTTTTAAAAAAAAAAAAGATTTTACAAGAAGATAAGAATGCACACATCAGTTACAAGACTTACAATTTAGTACAAATAGTTAAATATCTACATTCGCTAATAAATTATTAGTTTTTTTAATTTAATGCATATTTATATTTACCTGACATTATTTAGATTGGTTTTCCAAGTCATGCCATGTTAAAACTAGTTGATCACTGAGGGTTCTGATGTGAGAGTCCCCATAGCTGAGTAGGGTAGTTTTGGTTTCCACTTTCTTGCTTGGGCTTTGTTATAGGGTAAAATCTAAAAGATAACATTACTTTCTTATCAAATGTTGTTTCACTGTATAAACATATGTCAGGTCAAAGCAGAGGAAATTCCACATGTTATATGGGTATCACAGTTTTTTGTGACAACCACAAAGTGTTCTCAACCATGGCAATTGAGAGCAGCTGTAGTCCATCATAGCTCACTTAGCATCTTAGCTCACTTTCTGGCACCAGTGAGTGACTCCAATGATTGCTGCTTTGAAAATGGTCAACAATCAGCTCTTGATCTGCCAGTTGCTTTTCTCAAAAAGGCAAATAGTCAGGATCAAGCTCATGTGATCTCGGAAGTTTAACTAGCCTGGATTCTATTAATCTAATTTACATCAATTTAAGTTACTCTGAATTTTTACATTTGTTTAGAATTAGAGAGACTCTGAACATGTCTCTAACTCCAAACAATAACATCATCAAAAAGACTTTAAGCAAATCAAAAGGAATACTGTAGTACTGTAGTAAACATGATTTTAAACTGGGATTGTTGATGAATGTTTCATTTTTTTTAAAAGTTTAATTTTTATCCAAACATTAAACAAATTTCATCACATAAAAATATTTGGTAGTATTGTATTTATGCTACAAATTTTAACTCACTACTATATACATAAGCAATACAATTTCTGCTGGCCAGAGGTTTGAACCACATTGTGAGTATGTTTTTTACTCCTTCTATATCATCATAATAAAATGGTTTTACACGATGGAGGCGCTCTCTTTTCCTTTTTATTTCACATCTGTGGGCTGTTTGAGGATGTTTGGGAAGGGGGTAGTATTTTAGCTCTCCACCAGAGAAGGAAATCCAGTGGCCAACTACAGTGACATCTTACAACATGTTCTCTGTAGACTTCAGAGCCTATCACAGTATGATACATTGGACATATTATAGCATCACATTGCCATCTGTCATAACACCAGTTAATCTTTTCTGACCATCTTTTTTGAATATGTAATATTATATGTACTATATTATATTACTATTGTCGGATGTACTAGTTTACATTAAATGTTTACTTCTTTCCATTACAGCAACAGCAAGTCACTTATCCAAATGTTCAGAAAAAGAGAAGACGTATTGTGTCAACGGAGGTGAATGCTACGTAATCAAAGGAATCACAAGCAGTGGCACAACAAAATACATGTGCAAGTAAGATACCTTCACTTATAAGACATTTTTCCTGCATAGGAGTTGCTATTCAAGGTAGTATCCAGCCATAAGCCTTGTGTTTGTCAATCTGGAGCAGGATTACTAAAATATGCCATTGGTAAAACATTACAGTGAATGTAAAAACAATACGGGGTTAACCAATTATTTTTGCCACATAAATTCTTAATGGTCCTCATAACTGGAGGCAATGGCAGAGGTGTGCCCATTGCCTAAATACATTGTGCTGGAAGGTTTCTTTTTTTCTCTTCTCAGAAAGTTGGAAGGTATGTAATTGTAACTATGGCTTTTATATCATTAATGACATCACAGCCTAATCATAATATTATATAGCTTTTTAATGTTTGTGCTCACTATTTATAATGAGGAATACCATGGAAAAAATAATGGTTTAAATGTTAAAGGCTTGGACTGCCCCTCAGCATAAAAGTTGTCAAGAGTTGTACTTGGAGGCAATTGAGTTGGGTAGGTAATTTGATACACATATCATAAACACAATACTTCATGGCGTTGGCTATTATCTTTGTATAGTTTTAAAAAGTTTGTTTTACAGTATACAGTATTGTATTTTTGTTGTTCAGTATGCAATTGTCTCTTTTAGATAGTGTATATAGTGTTAAGGTTGAGTATTGGAAATGTTCTCTGTGCATATACAACACACACACTCTGCATATTAGAATATTCAATATTAGAGCATTTACAAGGATTCATATTTAGTGAGAGGTTTCTATACCTTTTTATTATTATTGTTATAAATATGAGAAACACTCATTCAGTACAATTTGACAGTGTCTTTACAAAGTCGACTTACCCTTCCCATTGATACTCACTTTTCAGTGCTTCCCTGTGGCTCCTTTCTCCATCACAGGCAGACAATACATGCAGGGGAATGTGAACTCCTCTCATGTGACAGTGGTGGAGTCTAGCATCCAGTCAGTAGGCTTAAGCACTGTCAGAGATAGAGTTAGTGATGTCACCACTCCTTCCAGTGACCAACACCAGTCAACACTGGGTATTTTAGAGCCAGCTGTGACAGAAGAAGAAGGGGCACGGGAGTGCTGACAAAGATGAGTATTAGTGGGTCTAATCCAGAAGCCAGGGTAAATGAAAGACAGAGGCAAACAAGAAAGCTAAGAGCAAAGTGTAGTAACCAGCTACATCCAATCCGGAATTTATCTTTCACTGATTTGACTTTGTTATACTAATATGTGATTCATTGTTATATAATGTAACACTTTTATTGCATTATAGCTATAATATCTTGCACTTGTATAACGTTACAGTATTGCAAACACACTGTTATTTAAAGCCCCACCCATTATACGTATACATGAATTGTAAAATATGCATCTCCAAGAAAAATGTAGCTGTTTTTATGCTTAGTGCAGTCAAATGTGTTATATTGGTAAAGCTTTGCGTTTATTAGTCTGCAGAATATTCAATAATGAAATATGCATTTGGATAACAGTGAAAAAAAAGAAGCAAACAAACATAAAAACTGCAGACTTTTTTTGGAAGCTTCCCAAAACTATAAACTTGACTTGAATTTTTTTTTCTTTCACATTATGTTTAGTTCTTATATGAGAATGACAGCGGTGGAATTTTCAACAATAAGAACTAGCTTTAGTGTAGATGGGTGCTATTACCGGAGCACATAATAGAGCACAAATGAATGGCCATTTTTGCATCCTTGTAAAAACTGAGTTTTTACTGTGTTTGCAGTTTTAGGAGTGGTGTCTTCTGAATTTTACCTACAACACTCTGTAAAAGTGTTCATGCAAGTGATAATAACATTCAATCAATGTGTTCCAGTAGCACACTACTTTAGTCATATTTATAAATATAATTTCCTTAGAGGGAAGAAAAGCCTGAAACCTTCATTTTATTTGTTTTATCTCATTGTCATATTCATTACAAAGTTTAAAGATAATAGCTTAAGTGGCAACTGCCGTCACAGAACTAAACCTCAGAGACCGCAACATACAGGGGTATAGGTACACTTAAATACAAGGACACACAGGGACTCGTGTGCACATATACACATGCACAATCACACATAGACACACAAAGGTTGAACTTGATGGACCTGTGTCTTTATTCAACTTCAAATACTATGTAACTATGTAACCTGAATAACAACTGCTGAAATGGTCACCCAAATATAAAATTATTTACTTTGCTGGGATTTTATTTGACCATGACATTTAGAGTATACTTAAAGTTTTGGATAGAGTAGGTAAGGATTAAAACCCCTGTTAGGTTTTCATTGCTGTCTGTGTCCCTTTTTGATAGATTTGCTCTCTCTCTGTTTGTGCTGGTGACCACTGTTTCCAGGATTATTGTTGTGTCAGCAGAACAGAAAGTGAAGGGAAATTTATCTAGTGGGGAACAAAACATAAACCCCACATGGGTTTCAAACTTTCCCTATTCTGTCCAAAATGACAAAAAAAATTGGTTGGGTTTTTACGCCATTTTCTATACAAACAGTTTAGAATGCAATTAACTGGGGCAGTTTAGTTTTTGTCTGGGTGATATTTAGCATCCATACATACCTAGCTCCATTTTATTGGCTATAGTACCCTGTTGGTTTGAATTTTGATGGAATGGGCTTGATTTTCTAAAGGCAAAGAAATTGTTCACTTTTCAAGGGAATTTCCACTGTGCAATGGAATTTTCCCTTAGTTTACTCAATGTATAGAATTTAATTTTGGAAAGAATACCCGATCATGTGCAGGGAAATTTAAAAAAACCTGTATTTTTGCTTGCACATGATGGAAGTCAGCACAGCTTCACCTCATTTACGAAGCTAAGGAAAATTCCCTTGCAAAGTGAACTGCCTTTTTGCCTTTAGTAAATCATTTTGCAGACATTTTGCACTGAATTGTAAAACCTCTTTCAATACAATGTTTGTGGCCCTATACGGTTGATTTCCTAAAGGTGTATCTTTTTTACTTAGCTGAGTGGAATAGCATGCACTTCAAATACCCAGCCATGTGCCAAAGAATTAAAACATAGGGACTTAATTTGCAGATAATTGGATAATTGAAGTGTACACATCTTTGCTTGGCTAAGTGAACATTCTTCTCCGTTAGTAAATCAAGGACAATAAGCATTGTGGCTGCTTGGAACAAACCTATATGTATCATATACACTGCTGGTACAAAGCATAATGTTTATATGACTCCTGTCACAGTAAAGATACCAGATGTGTGACTGTATATCATATATGATCTTCATGAACTGTTTTTAAGCTTGATTTTAAATTGCTATTATATGTTGACAAAATGAATGCTTCTCTCATATGTCCTACAGGAATACAAGTTCAGGTGGATACCTTTTATTTTTTTTTATTTTATTTTGCTCATCACATCTTTACCCTTTAGGTGCAAACCAGGATTCATGGGAGCACGATGTACTGCGACTGATCCTCTGAGAGTCATAAGAGCAGAAAGTATGTCCCAGTACTCTGATATTTGACTTTTTATCCCCCAAATGCAGCAACAAATAAAAAAAATGATTAGCTCTTATACTTCGTGATGTCACTGAACAGAGATGATTTCCTTTTTTGTACCTCCCATGACCTGTTTAACCAACGATTCAATCAAATAATTTCAACCAATCAATCATTGTTTAATATAATTATCACTCCATGTTTGTGTTATAAACAATTGTCAAATACATATCTCAAAAGTAAGTGAAAAACATGATTATCAAGTCATGCCAGTACAAAAACTGAGACACAATCTTTGATGGTGGCATTCCAAGAACAATCAGTTTACACTTGAAGGATCTCCTTTCTGGCATATATTCAATTCTTTTCTTTTCTCTGTTTTCTCTACCCTTTTTGTCTTTCCTCTCAGGTGCCCAAATGAATTTACTGGTGATCGCTGCCAAAACTACGTAATGGCCAGCTTCTACAGTACGTCCACTTCCTTTCTGTCTCTGCCTGAATAGGAGCATGCTCAATCGGTGCTGCTTTCTCGTTGCTGAATTTCTCTTCAGAACTCATCTAGTACTTGATTTGTTATTCTCTACTAGGCTCAATACTGTTTGCTCTGCCTGTAGCATGACAAAAATAATAATAATAGATATTATTATTATTGTTACCTTGATATCCTTTTGATGCACAAGTGTGGATGGGCATGCATGTAATGTTAGCACAGAATATTATAAGAGATTGTAGCCTTAAAAAAAGGTAAGAAAACCATGAGATGCAGGTTTCCACGTGTAGAAATACTAACTTATTGTTTTTTGTTTTTTTTTATTATACATAGCTAAATTTTAAATTAAGAAAAACAATTAAAATTCAACTATTATTTATTTTATTAAAACTATATACTTAGTTGCAGTTAAATAATAATCAAATTAATACCTACAATTTCTAAATTCCCTCAACTAACAGTTCCTTCCTCATCTTATCACACCGTGTTAACTGCATTTGTAGGCAAATCTTCCTAAAGAACTTCTACTGTACTACTTTCAGCAGTGTTCCTAAATATATTGCAGCTTCCAAAGCACATGCAAATAATTCCCAATTTAAGCTCTGTTTGTACATACATCATGACTTCCAAACTAATCACAAATACATAATTACTTTAAGATCCAGCTAATTCGTTTTGAGGAGATTCACAGTCACCTGGAGATACGTCACTACCAACAATGATTGTCCTTTAAGACAACAGCACTACTTCAGATGTACCCTTGTTTTATGCAGCACTGCCCCAGGTGATGAAGATGTACTAACATCACCTCTTGGCTTCTTTCTCTGTGAGATGCTGGCACATCTGAAAAAAACTATCTCTAGCACACTCATTCTTATAATTTGTACCAGACCATGACACCTACTATATCATGTTAAAGCTTGATGTGACTAGATACGAGGAGGATTTACTTATTCTAATATTTTAACATTTAATTGTAGGCAGAGTCTAGTGCTTGATTTTTGCACTTCTGCATGCAGCATGGTTAACAGCAAAGAAAAATGCACAGCTTGTGTGCATTTTCTTACACTCCTTTTTCTCTTGTTTTTGCTCAATAATAAAACCCTGACAATTCCTGTCTTATGCAGGCAATAGGCTCAATTCACAAAGCTAACACACCAGGAAAAGGACATGTATTTTCATATCTGCATAATCTAATATTGATAAGTGATTCTGTCGCTAGGTGAAAAGAAAAAGGTTACTACTTACCTGTCACGTTGCTGATTTTCACTCTTTTAAGGAGCTAAGTTGGGATGAAATTTTTTCTGCATCAAATACTTTTTCAGGTGTGTCAAATGCATGGTCTCCTACTGAGCACTGTGGTTCCATCCTCATTACTGTGTGCTGTTGTGACAGAGGCTGGCAGATGGAACCACAGAATTTAAAGGAGGGCCTGGCATCAAACACACTCGGAATTGTTAGATGCTTATTATTCTTAAGCCACGGTGGTTCTGCAATAGAGCAAACAACAGTGGCACAGGTTGGGAGACAGGTAAGTATTATACCTTTTTTTTTAAACATTTTTTCACCTAGCAATAGAGTCACTGTAAAGAAAAATTAGTTAATGTGATCAAATTCAATAAGTTCATCACTTACAACTTTACCGATGCAAAAAACAATCTTAATATTTACCCTTTTAACCATTCAGATACACAGTACATAGCACCCTGTAATTCCTAAAGCATTTTAAATTAAAAGCATTCTGTTTAAAGTTTTTATAAACACAAAAAAATAAAGCTGTTTGACTTCAAAGCAAAACTCCAGTTTTTTTTTCTTCTTTTACCCAGCACAAGTCAAATATGGTACCTCACTGATGTCTATTCTAGGTGCGAATCGATGCAGCTTAAAAATTGAAGCTTTATTTTTTCCCTATACTACAAACAGCACCCTTCTTCTGGTGCTGCAACTAACAGGGTTATTCACAAAAGGGTGAAGAGTTTGGAGAAGGCAGGAGAAGTGAACAATCTAGGACAAAATAGCTTATTTGGAAAAATTATCCAATTCAGCTCACTTTCCAGTTCAGCTATGTTGTCCTAGATTGTTCACTTCTCCAAACGCTTCAGCCTTTAGTGAATAGCCCTGTAAGAGTTTTGGCTCTTGTAGATTGAAATTATCATGTTGTTTACTCTCCCTTTAATCACACCTTATCCTCTTTATCTATTCACAAAATGCCTTTTATTATGTTTCCAGAATACAAGGTGTTCTGGATCTCCCTTTACCCATTCACAGAATGCCTTGTAATCTGTGAACAGAATATAAGATGTTTTGTGAATGGACAAAGGAAGAGAAAAAGGAGAGTAAACGACACAATCCCTTCACTGTACAAGAGACCTGGAATTCTCAGTTGTACTGCTGGAAGAAGAGTGATGTGTGTGGTACTCAACATCAGTGTAGCCATAATTTTTACAGTAAGCAGCATCAATCCACACCTAGGATAGTCATCTTTAGAGAAACCTAATTTGACTTGTGGCATTTAAAAAACAAATCATGGAGTTCTGATTTAAGGGGAAAAAACTTTACAATCTCAGCATATTTAGAAGCCTAAATCTTAATTGAAAATTCTAATTAGAATCTTTATGCCGTTTGCAAATCATTAAGTCTAGTTTTGTTAGTAGTTATGTTCTTAAGTAATTATATGTCACCATCTGGTCCTTGGTGTTCAGCTTTGTAACCCAGGCACAAAATCAATAAGACTAACATAGTTTAGAGTTCACCTAGATCCTTCTCATGTGATGAATAAAATAAATAATAGATTTAAATAATGCTAAAGTAATGAATTCATTCTCATAACAGCAACATATACACTGTTATGTAAGGTTAACATTTCCCTGGGTATTTATTTTAGATTTCAGATACAGTGACATTTACTAAATAAACGTCAACAGTTAATTTACTAACTGATGAGGCATGCAAAGATTTTCTCACAATGTAATGCCCCTTATAAAGAGAGAGCTGCTTAACTCACTTTCAAATTAGATATAACTGCACAATTCTTAATTATTTAATCTTCATATAGAGCAACAACAATAAATTCATATTCAGATTTGCGATAATATGTTAAATAAATGTAGAATCCCTTTGCCTTAATAAATTGCAGTGACAATATAATTAATCTTAACAATTAGGGTAAATATAGCTCTAAAAATCTTTTTGGAGGAAAACAATGTTTGTATTGCCCAATCAGATTGAACCAGTTTTGAAAATGAGGAAAATTATTTTGTTTACTAGAGGCACTTCAGACATTTGTTTCTTCTCACTGTGTTATAAGCAAATGCTTAGCTAAGTTCTGTGCCCTGATCAAAAAATAAAAGTGTAATAGAGAATAATTAAATGTTCCCTAGAGTAAATTTTTAAGAAACAATGCATGTTCTCTCAGCATGTTATCTTGTTAAGCCACACAGCCAAATCACACTACTTATGTAGATCAATCTCAGATTGATTATATTCAGATGGAAACTGCATAATAACGCCTAATGAAAATTAAACAACAGGCTAAACTTCCTGCCTAAAATTGAATAAATGCAATAATATGTATGCATGGGCATGCCACTAACCAAGCTTTTGTGCAACTAATGTCTAATTAGCAATGTCAGTGTAACCTCTTATTAATGGCTGTCTTTGGAAGAAATCTGGATGGATGCTATTTGAATCACTATATCCCTTTGAAGTGTTACTGATTGAGGTCCAACAGTTCTAAGTCATCAGTTATTTAATATACTTTTTTATTTGTTGTTGTTTCATTTGGCTTCAATTTTATTAGTTGCAGTACATGTTTATATATCTCAGTCATCTTCAATTGGATTTTAGCTATAATTACTAAACATCTTATATTTATTGTTATGGTTATAATACTTATGCCTTTGTAATACCATATGGTGTTTTTTACATTTTAATTCATAGTTATTATAGATAGGATAGGTTTATTTTTGCATATTAAAGCTGATAGTCTTATGTGTAATAATGTAGTGTGTTGCATTAATGATGTATAGTGCAATTATAAACAGTAATAGGTATTAAAGAATAGGTATTAAAGTTAACCAACACTATAGTGCTATATATAATGATATTGAATAGTAGCAAATATATAAATCACTGTAATTATACTAGTCATACATTTTGATAGCTTAAAATCATTTTAAATATTTTGTCAAGCAATACTGCATATTTAAGAAAGCGAAAATATTTATATGTATGCATTCAGATTTCTTCCTCTGTTCATATTGATATAAAATATCTGTGTTTACACTTTAAAATTAGACATGGACACTTAAATTGACCATTTACCATGCATCACATGTCTTGTTTCAATGTGCAGACATAGAGTAGACACGGTATTCATGTATGATTTGTTTTGGAGTACAGTGTATTGCTCTTTTCTGAAACTTTTTCCCTTTTCTTTCTTTTTGTCAACTTTCTGCATTGGCAGAGCATCTTGGAATTGAATTTATGGGTATGGACCAATCATTCCTTTTAGCCTGCAGATATTAGAGCCTAAAAGCTTTAAAACCTTCTTTTTTTTCCTTCAATTCCTAACCAATTTCCTTATGCTTTGGAAGGGATCATACAGCTATAACGCAAATGTGGGTTAGATGTTCAAATTCATCTGTTCATAATGAATACCATATAATGTTTAGAATAGATTCAAATCCCTGTAAAACTTGCTTACACTTTACTAAACTGATACGATGTGTACCTACATCTGGTTTATTTTACTAATTGCTTAGGTGATGTTTGGAACTTTGAACTGAGTACCCATACATTACTTAATGGGCAGCTGTATATTAATAATAACACAAACAAATTATAGATTTATTTTTTTTAAGAAAAAAATGAGTAAAACTAAAAACACACAAATCTTAATCTATTGGACAACCTAATGAAGATCTATTTTTAATCATATATGAAGCATTTTCACCACAAATATTGTTGAGATAATTATGCTACAGTTTTTGTTGGTAATACTTTATATCCTATATCTGCCATATGAACTCGTAAATTGGTCACCAGTTCGCTACAGCATCTGCAAAAACTTGGGTTCCTGTCTTTGTATTAGCCTTTACCTTCCTAAAATAATATCATAGGAATTATGGGATGACATTTCTACTGCCCTTAGTCCTCTAGTCAAAGAGTGAAAAAAAAAACCAATAGGGGTTTCCTGAGTAAATGAGTGCGTGGCAGTTCTGATGTGAGAATCTGTTACTGTCATCTCAGTCTTCAATCTTTGAAAGGGTCAATAAACAGGAACAGTGAACAAAATTGAAATTCCTGTTTGTTAATTGATATAGTAAAGGATTGTACAGGAGGCTCTCACTCTTAATGCACTGTAACTATTTAAACAGGGAATTCCTTTTGATTTTCTCACTGCAAGAGAGTGAGTTAAAAAAAAAGAATCTTGTCCTGAAAATGTAACTGTGGTCTATTCACACTGTGACCAGAGGTTTGAGAGTGAGGGTAGGGAACCGTTACTTGCAAAGTCTCAAGTACCCCTTTACCAGTTCACTTCAGATGGGTAGGCCTGGAACATGTTTTTATGTAGCAAATAGTAAGAATTTGCATATGTCCGCTGTGAATCTGGCTCTAGCTAGGGTGAACTGATATAATCATCATTAGCCACTATAATTTAAGTGGCAGAGGTAGCTAAAATTCTCAGGGTTAATGACACTCGACAGTTTTTTTTTTGGGGGGGGGGGGGTTTACAAAGGAAATGTAGATAATGTGAAATCAGTCTCTTCTGAAAATCATCTAATACAAATATTATGAGTGCTAGTCTTTGGATCTTTTGATGTTTATAACATTTCTAGTATAATTAATCCAATTTATAAGCTGGAGATTTGCAAACTGTGGTTCCAAATGTTATCACAGAATACTAGGCAGTTAGGTTCTTCAGTTCCAGGACAAAGTATTGAAAACCACTGTTTGTCTAGCATTGACAATTGTCTAATTATTAAGCTCTCTTTAAAGTGAAACAATAATGGTTTGGGGTCTGTTTTGTGCAGTTCTTTTTTTAAAAGTTTATACATTGTTAAAACTATATTTTATATCTAATTTTACTATGTGTATACAACCTGTGTTTTACAAATAAACATATAATATATGGCAAAGAATTCTCACAGCACTCTGGGTTATTCAAATTGACAGCCCAGCAGTAGCAGCCTGCCTCTGGGCTTGCTTTGTCTGATTAAAACCTCATTCCAAGCTGTCTGATAAGGGATGAGTCACTATTATGACTCATTCACTTGTGTGTTTAAATTGCAGCTTTAACTACTGAGTTTTTTTTACAAGAAAGGTGCTAAGGACTCAAAGCTCATTGTAAAACACCACCTACTGACTCAAAAGGGAAAATGTCAAATATAAAAAATGCAGTATCTAATTGTTACCTGACAAAACCCTTTTTTTAATCTTATTTTTTAAGTCTAGACAATAACAAAGAGGGGAAAAAAATATATATAAAAAACTCTGTTCCCTTTAATGTATGCCCATCATGTGTAGTAATAGCCCATTTAGCAGAAGGAATGCCCACACACATACTGTATGACAAAATATATTTCTCATATATTTCACCTTGTATATAATCTTGCTTTAACATGTATGCTTCTCAGCATTTTACTCTACTATCTTCTATGTCCATATTTTACATACAGGTATGGAATCTCTTATCTAAATTGTCTCCATAAGTTGGAGCACTATACTGTTGCTTCCCTATAACTCCTAAGGCTCCACATAAATTTTGGGGGTGTGGAGTACAATTTAAGTATAGCAAATATTGGTTAATTTTGTTATTTTGTGGGGTTCTTGGATAATAAATGCTTGGATAATAAAATACTAATAACTGGGTTTCGGAGCCATGTTACAAACTCTTTTCCTCAATGTAATCTTCCACCATTCATGTACTTGGCTAGCATATTCTGATAGTTTCTATTTGGTAAACATAGTACATTTCTACATAATAGATAGGAATATAGCATATATTTGCTGACATCAGGTTTGTATAGTCTGCGATTTCACTGAGACCTAGCCATTTATGCATATAACCAGATCTGAAAGATTTTGACTTTTAGGCTGTGTTCATCAATATGTGTTGCACATGGACACACGGTATATGTTCAATGTAGCGTTCTGTCATTTATTTGGAATGGCAAATATTTGGAATGGTACATGTACAGCAACTCAGTATGAGTCAGTTTTACACTGTGTAGCAGTGTAAATCTGACCCAAAATAAAACAAAGCAAATCAATGGTCAATTTATAATTTAAACATTGTTTAAAATCTTATTTGAATTAGGTTTACATGCCACATATATTCAGCAGTTTTACATATCAGGATGTTACCCTAATTCTGCTAAAAGCATACTTGAGATGAACAACCTGGCCATGTTCCCAGCTCACAGTTGGCTTCAAATATGAATCAGTGAAAAATATCGCCAAGTTATTTTTATATTCATTTAAAATTGTTTTGCATGTGGCATGAAAGTGGTAAACACATCATGAAACTAAAATGAGATGAAATTTGTATAACATTTTAGAAATATCAGCTAATCAGGTATTGGTTGTGGTGGGTGCACCTGAAAATATTTTCTTTTCATGATGCCTAAATGACAGTTTTTAGTTTATATCTAGTAAACTTTATTTGTGTTTAGTCCATTTTATGCATTTAAATATTTATGACCAAAATTGATCTTGGGCATAAATAATAGTTTAGTTATTTTATTTCAAGTGCTCAATTAACAAAAATGTGATACCACACAACAGGTGATATATGGGTATTTGTTTTAGGAAACATATTTGAATAGCAACAGACCTTTTTATACTTTGCATGTTCTAGACGCTGTATTCACACAACAGACGTCTTATTCCAATGAGGTACCTGCCTCTAGTAAAAACCCCTGTTGATGTCAGTTGTGAGGAAAATGAGTACCGAACTGTGAATTCCCCTCATGCACATTTACATACATCACCCATTCGCTCCCAACACACAAACACACTCATACACACACATATATAGACACATCACTCATATATATCATTCAGCACCTGACAGGAGCTACAGGCATATACATTACTCTTGCCCACACATTGTTATTTTACAGTTGATGCCTTTTATTCGAAAAGTGTGCTTTCAGTGCTGAGAAGGAACAATGCCATTAATGGCATTGCTACTCCTTCACAGGCATAGTTCTTTAGTTCCCTGAAGGGCAGGAGATGCATTATTAGGTAGACAATGTAAAGTAGAAATTGTGTTTGCAGGTTTGACACCTAACTCTACTGCTAGAAGATCTAGTACAGAGTTAGGGATCCACTTTAGAGGTAAAAAATAAGGAATAATGCTTTAAACAGTAGGCTATGATGAATAATTGCGTATTATATTAGTAGTAGTAGAAATAATAGCCTTTGAATTAAAAAAAAGATTTTAAAAATCTAATGCTGGAGCCTAATTCATCGACAAAGTACAAACAACAGTGGTGTCCAGAAACTGATAGAACCTAAATACACTTGAGCCACACTTACTGCATACAGTAATGTCGTTGCACCCAAAGGGTCAATGTGCCTGTATCAACTAAATATATGCTTTTTTGAAATGTTATAGTAGTATGCTATTGATAGGGTTTGATTTGCTGCAGAAGTGGGGCATGTTCACATTGGGAAGTAAATTTACACTTTGGAAAGGAAATGTTCACAGTGAATTTGATGAAACTTCACTTTGTAAAGAATCTCCAGTCATGTGCAAGGAAAAACAACAGCATTTTTTTCTTGACCATGATTGGGTGATGGAAGTCAGAAGAGGTACCCCTCATTCACTATACTAAGGGCAAATTTCCCCTGCTCAGTGCAAATTCCCTTGCAAAGTGAACAGCGTATTTGCCTTTCGTAAATAAACCACAATGGCTCGTGCATTTAACAGTGCATTTCACTGTAAACATTTTAAACATAATTCTTGATTCTCGTTTTATGTTGCTCTGACAATCATACATTTGTAATCAGTATTAATAACCTGTGTTGCACCCATATTACCCCCTTCTACAGGCTCCATTGTCCCTTATGTTCCAGTCTTGTTTGTTTTGCTATATTACGGTACATAGACACAGTATACATTATCAGTATAAGGCCTGGTTCACACCTGGGCGTTCTACAGCGCGTTCCTACGCTCTGTAAAACGCTCAACATGTGAAAACCAATGATTGCCTATGGGCATGGTTCCCACCTAGGCGTTTTACAGCGGGTAGGAACGCGCTGCAAAACACCCTATGCCCAAAGAAGTACAGGAGCTTCTTTGGGGCGTATTTGCCACGCGTATCCATTGGGATACAGCCAGTTAGCCCTCGGAAATCGCGGTGACAACGCGCATATTCGATACGCCTAGGTGTGAACCCAGCCTAAATGTTCTCTTGACTGAGCTACTGATCATGCATATCAGTACCTTATAATATAGGTATTCAGTTGCACAGTACCTAT